CATAATTTTTCATACTTAACGTATTTTTGACTTATTATTTTCTTGATCTCAAATTCTATAAGTCAAGTTTTGTTTTTTCATAATTTTAATTTCTCCATCTTTAGATATAATTAAACTAAGTTGCAAAATAAAAATACTTAACTAATCTATGTATTTAGTCAATCCTTAAGTATATTTATGTTCATTATCATAAAAAAAGTTAGAAGAAAAAAAAATTTACGGCACCAAAAACAAAGAGACGTGATAATTTGACCATTCATGTAATAAAAAATTAATAAAATATTAAATAATATTGTTAGATTAGTATAACATGTTATTTGATGAATATTTTGGTAGTCAATTAAATATTTTTTTGGTGAGTTATTATTTTTTATTTTCAATAAAATGAAAAAATAATAAACATTTATTTATTCTCAAATTAGTCAATATTCTATTTTTTTATTTTATTTTGTTGAATTAAACAATATTTTTATTTTTTCTTGATTTTTTTTATTGTTTCTTCTATTAAATCATTCTTATTTTTATTTTCAATTTATTTCTTATTATATCTCTCCTTCATGTTTTTAACTCTTATTTCTTTATTCTTTTTTAAACAAATATATTACTTATAGTTTTAAAAAATAATTTAAAAGATATGGAATATATAATAATATTTCTTTTATATAATTGATCTATCTTTGTTTTATCGAACTAATGAAGATTGACAAGAGGATGTGAGGATATCAATGGATTAGATTCCGATTGCGATTTCAAGACTATTGAAAATAACTTCCTTTATAAAGAGTAGAGACATCAGCGAAAAAACACGTCGACGGCTCAAGCTAACTTTTAGACAATAAAGTAGCATATTTGAGATTGAGTGATAAGGTGAAATTTACTCCATAATTGAGTCTCCTTATATAGGACCAAGAAGATAATGGTAACCAAAATAATATAATTGATATACGATATTATAGATATAATAATAGATATAAGATAATGTGTATCAAGATAGTTAAATAAATAAAGTGATTTTTATAAATTTGGGTTAGATAGATACACAAGCCCCTGAAACTCGGAGGCTAAGGTCCTTTCAAAATAAAGGTCAAACGAGTTTGAGTTGATCATTTTATCATGTAGACGAGTAATGTTTAGTTTGAATGTATTTATCTTATAAAAAATATTTTATTAGACCGAGATGTATTCATGAGATTTACTCGGTAAAGTCTATTTATATGTCATACAAAGATAATGAGTCAAAAACTTTAGGAAAAGGAGGAAGGAACTCAGTAGTGCTCTCACTAGCCCCTGAGATCATACCGTGGAAACCAAATTACCTCGAGTGATATTTTAAGACGAGACTGCCCTCCCTTGAGCCAAAATAAAACTTCATCAATTTAGAAAATTATTTAATTTGTCATGTGCATGTACTATGATTATGAAGTTACAAATCATTTCATTCATAGATTGTGCAATTGTTAGTAAATTATGCAAATATTAGACTCGTAACTCTTATTAGAGTTTTTACAATGCATATTTTGATAACTCATATACTTGAATAAGATGTATAACTCGTGTAACCCCGAGTAAGGTAGACGCATGTGTTTGATACTCGAATGTCTGAGTAAGGTATATATAATTCGTGTGACCCTGAGTAAAGTAGATGTAGATTTTGATAACTCATATACATGAGTAAGATATATATAACTCGTATAATCCCGAAACTCGTCTGATTCCGAATAAGATATAACTCATGTGACCTCAAATAAGGTATAACTTTTATAACTCTTGTGACTCCGATTAAGATATAACTTTTATAACTCATGTGAGTTGAGTAAGGTTAATTTTTTTATACTCGTGTGACCCCGAGTAAAGTACAACTTTTATACTCGTGTATTCCTGCGTAAGGTACAACTTTTTATACTTGTATGACTTTGAGTAAGATACAACTTTTTATACTTGTGTGACTTTGAGTGAGGTACAACTTTTATACTTATGTGATCCCCGAGTAAGGTATAATTTTTTGTACTCATGTGATTCCAAGTAAGGTATAACTTTAATATTCGTGTAAAGTAAGGTACAACTTTTATAACACATGTGACCCCGATTAAGGTACAACTTTTTATACTCGTGTGACCCTTAGTAAGGTAAAACTTTTATACTCGTTTGACTTTGAGTAAAGTATAATTTTTATAACTTATGTGACTTTAAGTAAGATACAATTTTTATCATTGGCACTGGTCGATAGTATGCCCATACTTCTTATGAAAATGTTAGTACTTTATGCTATCAACTTAAGTCAAAGATGGTGAAGGTGGTGATGCACACACCAATTTTAGTTTGAAAGTCTTTTGCAATATGCGTTTTTTACTAATACTTAGAGAAGTGAATTGTTCAAACTTGACTACCTTAGATTTTTAAAAGACTTAAGCTAAAAATAACCAACTTGTGGTGACTTTCTTATCATTAAAAATGGTATTGATATCCTCCTATTACTTACAAATTTACAAATAAATAGAAATAATGAGTTAGAAAATTGAAGAGTCAATCAAGGAATTCGAGAAAAGAGAAAAAGTGTCAATCAAGCGATTTGGGATAAATAAAAAGAGAAAATCATGTAGTCAATCGAGGGATTCAAGAGTAGAGGAAAAAGAAAAAAAATCGAAGAATTAAATAATTGAGGAAAATAAGTTATTAAATTGGAGTTAGAAAACCAAGAATAAAGCATTACGATAAAAGAAAATCGATGAATCAAATAATTGAAAGAAGGTTATTATGAAAGGGAGTTACAAATAATAGAGAAATATATGAAATGGTTACAACTTCAAAACGTGTCTAGGGCGGTTACAAGCGCTATGTGAGACAATGTAAATACTCGAAAAAAGGGGGGAAATGATTAATAAAGAGAGAAATTATTTTTATTTTATTTTCTTAGTGGTTCCACAAAATAAAATATAAATAGAATTAAATAAGTGTAATTAAGGGTGACAAATTTTATTAAGACACTTTCATTCTAAAAAGACATTGCGAACATAGAAAAAACTATTTCAATGGAGTTCTTGACAATTTGGGTCACCACCTTTATTGATTTTTTGTAATTTACACTTCCTACACTTTACGTTTCTTATACTTTAAATTTCTCGCACTTTACATTTTCTACATTTACACTTCTTGCACTTTACATTTCTCGCATATGTATATTTCTTGTCATTTACATTTTAATGTTTGGATAATATTAAAAATCAAAATTTATAATCAAGAGAATTTGACAAATGTATTCATCAAATTAGTGTGTGAAAGATCCCAGGTGAAAGTTGACTTCATATTAATTGTTGATTGAAACGTTGATCAATGTGATTATGTTCCAAATTTAATTGAAATACTCTCAAATTTGAAAAGTTTTACTTACTAGTATAAACGAAAAGAACTTAGAAGTGAAAAAATAGTTCATATTCAAAAAATGGCACACTTGGTGGGACCATGTGAAAATTCATTCATGAAATTTAACACACTTGGTGGAATTTGACACCTTTACGAATTGCTCCATGAAACTATGAAGGGATTTACCTTCGCCCTATTTTACACTCTCAATACCATGGTGGGAAAATGTTGCATAAGATTGTTCCATTATTTTTGTACTTTGTACATTACCAAATGTTACTCTAAATATGTTGAACTATCATATTTTTCCAACATAAGTGGTTTCCATAATTCCTTAAATAAATAGATTATTTTTATCCTCTTCGTATATTTCGATTATTTGTATATGTTGTTGTGAGTTTGTTTGATGATTTCGAGGTGGGGCTTCAACTGTTGCTTCGTTAGTCTACTATTACCTAATGTTCTACATCAGATGGTTCCTACGATTTTACTTGGTGGCTCGGTATTATGTTTAGAGAGATTTCCTTATCTATGTTCGAGTTGACTCTTTAGCTTTTGTTCTGATTTTTAGATTGTCGTACGCGTCTTATTGGTCGGCATTAACGATTGATGAGTCTGTACTTAATTGAATGTGACATTATACTTTAACTGAAAGTTCAACCTACTTGATTAGGGTTGTTTAGTGAGAACCTTCCATTCGCTTCATAGTGTTTGGAGCATGGGTTGATACTGTTTTTGAATCAATTCTAAAATTTTAACCACACTTTACTCAATTTGCATGAGTTTAGCGTTGTTATGTTATTGCAAGCTTTAATTTTATCATGATTTTTTTGCTGACATTTATCCATATGTTTATTTAGATTGTTGATAATGGTTGTAAAATCCATTTTATTGTTTGAATTTGAAAATCTTTGATTTTGGGTTAAGACTATGAGATGGAAGAGATCGAAGGAATAATTTTATCAAAGTCTCACGATAGATGCTAAATATTTTTATCGGACTAGTGAAAATCAACCAGAAAATTTAAAGAAATCGATGAACCATATTTCAAGTTACGACTTCGAAATATTGAAAATAATTTTTTTTTAAATGAGTAAAGACTCAATTACAAAAAACACCGGATACAATAAAATAATATAGTTAAGAATAAGTAATAAAATTAGATTTTTTTTCCTGACTCATAAAATAATAATCCTAAAAATATTAATTAATAACTCAAAATATAATAATTGATATAAATATTATAAAAATAATAAATAAAAAATAGTAAATTAATATATAGTAAAATAATTAAATAAATAAAATAATTTTTATAGAATAAAGTGATTTTTATAGACCTGGGGAGGTAAAATTTTAATCCAAATAATCCCACACATAATTTTAAAAATACTAGGTTTAAATAAGATAATATGAGTTTAAAATAGCCGAAGTCAAGATTTTTGTATCAACTCTGAACCCTACCCAGGCCGCGTATGAGGTAATTTTTTGGAAATAGGCGTGGAATCGCATCATCGAGACTAAAAACGCGACTGATCAGGTGGGTTTCCTGAACGCAGCACAACCACAAACAAACGCAGTTTCCCAATTGAAGCGGCTCCGTCGAAAAACTTTCGTGCTTAGGGTTTCTTCTCTCGGAAGCCATGGGAGGCGAGGAGAAGCGCCACCAGATGATGCAGAACCTGTTCGGCGACCAATCCGAGGAGGAGGAAGAGCTCGACGTCGATTCCGAGCACGAATCCAATCCCCAATTGAATTACCCATCCGTATGCTCCCAAGTTCACATTCCTTTCCCTTGCACCGCGTTTGGATCAACCCTAACTCTTTTTCCGTGTTTTCGCGTTTTGTTTTTCAGGACGAGGGGGAGGGAATGGGGGAGCAGGAGGGAGAGGGCGAGGTAGAGGGCCAGGGAGAGGTGGAAATCGAGAGCGAGGGGGACGGAGAAGCTGAACACGATCGCGAGAGCGAGGGCGAGAGGGAGCAGAGCTCACAGGAGGTGGAAGTTGGAGAAAGAGAGGAGAGTGAGGGAAGAGACTCGGATAGTGACGCCAAAGATGACGGTTATAGCCAGCGTGGCGTCACGAGTAAGCGCCGGGACGATGTCGTTGAGAGCGGATCTGAGAGGTCGGAGGAAAATCATTACGCACACCACGACGATGAGGAGGAAGAAGTTGACGAGGCTAGAAGCCCCAGGTATACTGTTTCACGGAAAATTGTGGACAAATGTGGCTATTGTATGTATTATGTTTCTGGATGGGTTGATGTTTTCCGTTGTTAGTGTTGACATGGATTTAAAAAAAATATTACATTGATTAGAGCACAGGATAAACGCAGGGAATTACTGATGACCTAAGACTTTAATTAATTGATTTTTTTCAATTTTGCGATTCTAAGCGCCTTAGTTTGATCCTCTAACCTGGTACCGGTTAACAAATTTATCCTCTCTCTCGTTGCTCCATTTGACAGTTTCTAACTGAAAGGATGAACTTGTTGCACGGTGCATAGTTAAAAGACCGAATTGAAACAAAAAGGATGTTGGAGGATCGAGTGAAAAATTATATGAAGCTAGAGGATCAAACGTCAAAGAACTAACCATACCAATTTTTTTTATAACTGCTGCATGACATTGAGACTGATAACTTGTCCTTATTTGCAAATGTAGTGGGTCTCCCAGAGATGAAAAGGAGGATGAGACTCGTGACATGCATTCCGCACCCGAAATTCGCGATGTATTTGGTGATTTTGATGATGACGAAGACGAGGAAATGGGGTATGCAGTACAGCAGGACATTGAACAAGATTCAAATGTTAGTAAAGGTGCCAATAGTGATATTGGCTCAAAAATGACATTTTTCGTTTATCTGTGAATTTCCCAAATTTTAATAATTGATGATATAAGTCATCTCTTGTCCCAGAGATATCCTGTGGAGGAGGAAGGAAGTTACGGAAAGAACCTGAGACCAGAAGATATACTTGCTGATGAAGATCATCAGTATGAATCAGAGGAGGAAAACTTTGAGATAAAAGCTAAAGAGAAGCCACTTGGGCCCCCTTTAGAGTTAGAAGTTCCATTACGACCACCTCCAGCTCTTCCAGAAAAGGTATGTTTTTAATTAATAGGTCTACTTATTTGAGTGAGAACCGTGTATTTTAATTTTAAATTAGCTTTAACTTGGTGGCTTGAAATATCAGTAATTTTTACTCATCTGTTGTGTCATTCACATTGTTGTGATTTAGAAGTTGGCATGTGTGGTGTGTCAGTGAATCCTGAATTTGAAGTATTTAAGGAAGTTTATCTTTTAGGACAGTTTCTGATATCTTCCCGGTGACAAGCTTGGTGAAATGTTGCAAATTGGAATTGGAATTGTACAATATCAGATTATTTGATAACAAGGTCATACATGATTCATTTTAATAAGCGGTATCACTATGGATTTTATCTATAGATGCATTGCCTTTTGTAATGATGCGCATTCTGGTAAAGATATGTTGAATTACAATATTCAACCACTTGTATTTTAATCTCTCTCTCTCTCTCTCTCTCTCTCTCTCTTGTGGCAGATGAATATGATTAAAGTTTCCAATATTATGGGTGTTGATCCAAAACCATTTGATCCTAAAACATATGTGGAAGAAGATACTTTTGTAACGGATGAATCTGGAGCCAGAAAGCGCATACGATTGGAGAATAATATTGTTCGGTGGAGAACCGCTAAGAATCCTGATGGCACAACATCTGTAAGTAATTGTATACCGTTTCTTATGCATGCCACCATGATCACCATTTCTGTGAACTTGAAATAGTAGGGATGGAGATCCTGATATTCTTGTGTGCGACTTCTGTCTGCATTTACATCCATTTGCAATCCTTTGTACTACCTTTTACACTTCTAATTATGTCATAAAATAGTTATTTTTGAATATCAAGCTTAAAATTGAGATGGATTCGGGATCAAGATGCCAAATGTATTCTTTAAGATTTTGGTGTCTACAATTTTTTTTATATAAAATCTGTCTTTTGCTTGACAAAATCAGATTTAGTTTTTGTGCATGAATGTACATGATTTTTATGAACTGCAGTAGGTTGATAATTTGTTAAGGAAGTTTACAATATTTTGAGGATATGGAGTGTCAAATTTGAAGATAATCATTAGAGTGCGAGGAAATACTTCAAGAAAGTCATTAGTGCTAAATAGGACCAAAATGCTCCATATTCTATTGTGTTTAACCTTTAACTTTATACAACAACCTAAGCCTTTTCTCACCAGGTGAGTTGGTGGTATGATATGAATTCTATTGAGATATTGTGTTTAAATGTTTTTATGCCCCATACATTAATCATCTATTGAATTTGTTTAACATTATGGTGACAAAGAATAAGCTGTTGTCAGTTTTCTTGTGCACGTGAATACACTTTGTATAATTTCTTAATGAAAGTGAACTCAAATTACCTAAGCATGAAACGCAGTTAATTTGTTGCTGTTGGGATGGTGCAGGATAATTTTCTTGTGAATGTACTATATGTTAATATTTTGGATTACTAGATGTGACTGAGAATGTGGACTATTGGGTGCTTGTGTTCTTATTTTTCCTAGATGTTTTCCGAACATTAAAGGCTGGAATAGTTTCAATTGAGCTACATCGCTTATTTTGTAGGAAAAAATCTGTCTTTTGCTTGACAAAATCAGATTTCGTTTTTGTGCATGAATGTACATGATTTTTATGAACTGCAGTAGGTTGATAATTTGTTAAGGAAGTTTACAATATTTTGAGGATATGGAGTGTCAAATTTGAAGATAATCATTAGAGTGCGAGGAAATACTTCAAGAAAGTCATTAGTGCTAAATAGGACCAAAATGCTCCATATTCTATTGTGTTTAACCTTTAACTTTATACAACAACCTAAGCCTTTTCTCACCAGGTGAGTTGGTGGTATGATATGAATTCTATTGAGATATTGTGTTTAAATGTTTTTATGCCCCATATATTAATCATCTATTGAATTTGTTTAACATTATGGTGACAAAGAATAAGCTGTTGTCAGTTTTCTTGTGCACGTGAATACACTTTGTATAATTTCTTAATGAAAGTGAACTCAAATTACCTAAGCATGAAAAGCAGTTAATTTGTTGCTGTTGGGATGGTGCAGGATAATTTTCTTGTGAATGTACTATATGTTAATATTTTGGATTACTAGATGTGACTGAGAATGTGGACTATTGGGTGCTTGTGTTCTTATTTTTCCTAGATGTTTTCCGAACATTAAAGGCTGGAATAGTTTCAATTGAGCTACATCGCATATTTTGTAGTAAAAAATGTCATTCATGATCAGGTTGAAGTATAACATTGTTTACAGAAAAATTATCATGGATTTTCTATTACTGTAGTATGAAAGCAATGCCCGCTTTGTGAGATGGTCTGATGGCAGCCTGCAGCTTTTAATCGGGAATGAAGTTCTTGACATATCAGTGCAGGATGCACAGCATGATCAAGCACATCTTTTCCTTAGACATGGAAAGGTGAATTTCTTTATTCTTGTAGATTTCTGGATGAATTACTGTTTCCCCCTAATTGTCTATCTTTACATGCTTACAGGGAATCCTCCAATCACAAGGAAGATTATTAAGGAAAATGAGGTTTATGCCATCCTCCTTGTCATCAAATTCTCATCGGCTGTTGACTGCCCTTGTTGACTCAAGGCATAAGAAGGTTTATAAGGTTAAAAACTGCATTACTGACATTGATCCTGAGAGGGAAAAAGAGGAAAAAGAAAAGGTATGATCAATAATTCATTAGTTACATATTTATAGTGTCTAGGGTATCATTATCTAATTTCTATGTATTTTTTACAGGCTGAAAGTCAAAATATCCGGGCTAATGTGCTTCTTAACCGAAAACGTGAGAAAGTGAGCCGGAAGTACACTCCAACTGTGGATAGGAGGCGTCAACTTTCTCCTGGGTTTTTAGAGGATGCATTGGATGAGGTATAATTTTAGGATTTGTTTCCTCCATTAAAGTCTGTTTCTTTTTTGCTCACATATCTCCTGCAATTTTCTGAAAGCATATCTGCGTACTTAAAACTATGTCAGTTCCATTATTTACCCACCTATCTTTTGCTCAGGAGGATGAAGCAGATTACTATGATTCTCGTCGATCTCAGCGCCGGTTTGAGGATGATCTGGAAGCTGAAGCCCGAGCTGAAAAACGAATTATGAATGCTAAAAAGGTATTTATTCCCAGTCTCGAGCAATTTGTACGGATGTTGATTATTTTGGCATTTATCATTAATGAGGGTTATTTTCTGGAATATTAGTCACAGGGACCGAGGGATATCCCTCGTAAATCTTCCTTCCCGCCTGCTAAATCCTCTCGTAACCCAATGGGTTACCTGGATGATGAGAGAGAGGAGTCTGAGTATGAAACTGATGAAGAGGAAGATGAGAGGCCTCCTCCGCGCAAGAGGGATGAGGATACTGAGCCAGAGTATGAGGATGATGAAGAAGAGGAAGATCACTACGAAGAGGCGGAACAAGTTAATGATGCATCAGATGAGGAGGAAGAGGAGGTACTGCATATTTTATTAAAAATAATTGTCAGATTTAAATTTCCGGCTGTAGGTCCATAGAGTTATTTCTATTTACTTTCAGATTGCTTCTTATCAATGCCTCCTCGATAGAAAGATATATTTCATGTGATTAGTTCATGCAGTTTTGTTGTTTTTTAATCTTCCCCATCCATAATGTTTCCATTCTGTGCACTGGTTTGTACTGTGAAGCTATTTTTATTTTTGTTTATAGGACTACTGAGCAATTTTATGCATATGCCCTACTCTCTTAGTGTCATTTGTTACAACTGTAGATAAAAATCCTACAACATTTCAAAGCACCCAAACAGTATTCATCTATGTTGACTATCCTCATTCCCATTTCTTGGTTTTGTTGTAGTGTTTCCCGCTCTGATTATTGTACTTTATAAGTCTAGGTGGAAAATAAGGATGATAACATGTTCGATTGCTATACCGTGGTTTCAATACTATTTGGATATTTTCTTGCAGGAACCAAAGCACAAGAGTAAGGAGTTTAGAGGCAGTGCCAAAAGGAAGGGATTTGAATCTGATGAAGACTCTCCTCCAAGGAAAGCAACCACCCATCGACGAATGGCAGTTGTGTATGATAGTGATGAGGAATGAACTTCCTTAAGCCAGATTTTCATGGTGAGTAGTTTCAGTCTCGGAATTTAATTACAATATAGTGTAAGAATTTTAACTACAGGATCATGAATGATAAGATTGTTGAATTTGTAATAATTATTTTATTTTGCTAGTCATATGTAAAGTGATTTTTAATCGATTAAAGTGTGAAGTTTTCTTATACTGAAAGCATATGAAGATTAAACTCTAGTTTTAAATCTGAAAAGTACCTAAGATATGTTTTTCCTTCGCCATGAAATGATGAGCCATATAATCTTTCTAAAGAGAAATTTGTTAAATCTTTTTCCCGCCCCCCTCCTCCCTCTATTATTATTGGTTGGTAAATTATGTTTTCTTAATTTAAAATACTATCTGAATGGTCCTTGCTTTGCCTTCATATGTCTTTCTTGCATGCTTTCGAAGAGTAGAAGTTTTCAGTAATGAATATTGGTGGGCTGTTCCAGGAAGGATGTGTGCACAAGAGTGCTGCTTTCGGACGCAGCAGGGCTCATTTTTTTTTTTTTTAACAATTTTAATATTTAATTCTTTTATATAAAGCAGAGCCTGATATACCGACGTAGTATTCAGGTGACGATATATGTTGTTGACTCTTGATAATGGCTTTAAAAAATATTGGTATAAATAAGTTTGTTCTCTGTATTTTCCGTTGGCAAACCTTTTGTCCTAAGTAACTCCTTCATGCCGCTCCCCTTCCCAAATGAATGTTGCATTACTTTGCAACTTTATATGATAACATCTACATTTTCTTTTGATAAAAAAAGGAATTAAATTCGGCGTTTTGTATATCTTTTTTTAAATGGGGACCAGAAAACAGTAGTTTTTCATGTTTATCTACACATTATATTTTATAAAAAATATTTCAAATTCTTTATAAAAACGAATTATCCTTTAATAAATTTCTTTCTAAACAAATCGTTGAGCTTGTTGGAATTAAGTACTAGTTAAGGGCTTTAAGAAAAGCTTGGTATTAAAACGAAACACACATTAGCGTACCCTATTTTATTGGCACATTTTTAATGGGCTAACCTAACAAAACTCAATTGAAAAAGAAAAAATAAAAACAAAGAATCTACTCTGACCAACCACAGGATAGTTGGTTAAACGACCCGAGCCACTTACATTTAATAGTTTCATACAACGCATAAAAAACATAAAATAACCACAATCTTCGTTATTAATAGATATTAAATCATAAACCATGAAATCTTAGCTAAAAAAATTATTAAAGGTTGTCATATCGTAAAGAGGAAGGAGATTGTCCCGAGTATAGCGGAGGTCGACAAGTTTGTGTTTTTGCGACGTGTGAGAGAGTGATTTAGAGATTTAGTGAGAGAGAGAGAATGTCATGATGAAAGATAATGGTTTGTTTGAATTATATAAATGATTTTGGTGATAACCCGAGTCACCATGAACTCAATCTGGGATCGAAGAGGTTGTAATATTGAGAATATTTTAACCCAATTTAAATAAAAATATGGTAAGTCAAATTAACTTATAAACTATGACTCCAATATCTTTGAGAAAAAAAAAAAATTCCAAGTTTCATTTACTTACCATTACATAGAACTAAGTCAGGCCTTCAATCCGAATAGTACTAGAATTCATTTACTAATCGGAAAGAAAAACTGGGTTTGAAGTTTTTACACTATTAATAATTTAAAAAATATGTTAGTACTCTGACGTACTTAGTATAAATAATATTAATATGTAATTAGATATAAGTAAAAGAATTAAATACTAATTAAAAATTAATTAACACTTTTTATTATTCTCAATTTATTTTATTTAAAAGAAATATCAAGAGTAACAATTCCCATTATTTAAAAAAATATAATCTTAATTAACAAATATTTTAAGCATAATATTATTACATAAAGTAGTCATTATTTTTATTTTTTAAACCATTAATAAGATAGTATCACCGTTAGAAGCAAGTGACACAACTTCAGTAAATAAGTAGGGGAAAAATTTACATATATTTTAATTTTAAAAAAATAGTAGGGAATAAAACTTTTCAGTTCTTTCCTAGTCTCTCTCGAACGTGGATAATTAATTAATGGTAAAAAAAAAAAAAACCCGTATACGGTATATTTTCTCGTTCCGATGCGTAACCGCTTAGTTATTTTCAATTAAAACCCCCTTCTGAAAGGAAATGGAAGTCTCTGGGAGCTTCTACTACATCCTCACGGAAACTCTCAAACTTTCAAGAAACATCTTCTCTCACTTAATAAACTGGCTCCCGTTCCATTCTTTCTCACTCAATGAACATTTCATTCTCCAAAACTCAAGCCAATTCAAGTTCTGTTCGTTCGTTTCTTCACTTTTCGTCTCTTATATCCACAAACCAAACCTCTGATATTCTCAACCGCGATAAGAAGGTACGTAGTAATAATCTTCCATATTCTAAATCCAATTAATAATTCACCGATTATAAATGATTTCCAATAATCTAATACGATTCGTCCTTTCAATGGTGCAGGCAAACTGATGAATCCCGAAAAGTTCACACACAAGACCAACGAGGCTCTCGTGAGTGCTCACGAAACAGCCGTGAGCAACGGCCATGCGCAGTTCACTCCTCTCCACCTTGCGTCCTCTCTACTCGCTGATAAAGGGGGAATCTTCGCCCAGGCGCTTTCCAACGCGGCGGGCGAGGAATCGGCGCGCGCGGCGGAGCGAGTGTTCAGCCAAGCGCTAAAGAGGCTGCCCTCGCAGTCCCCGCCTCCGGACGAGGTTCCGGCGAGCACGAACCTCATCAGAGCCATCCGCAGAGCGCAGACGCTCCAAAAGACGCGTAGCGACACGCATCTGGCCGTCGACCATCTCATCCTCGGCCTTCTGGAAGATTCTCAGATCACGGAGTTGCTCAAAGAAGCCGGTGTGGTGGCGTCGAAGGTCAAATCGGAAGTCGAGAAACTTCGCGGCAAGGAAGGGAGGAAAGTGGAAAGTGCCACTGGTGACACAACCTTTCAGGTACTTCATTTAGCTTAATTTATATTTAAGGAAAAAAATTCCACCCATATATCAAATCACATCACATTCTCTCTTATATTGCAACTCATTATTTAGACTAACTTGATTTATTTAATTCTTTATTTTATTAGTTAGTCGATTATTCTTATTTTAACGGAAATATAATAAACTAATTTAGTTTATAAAAGACGGGTTAGCCAACTAGATTGAATCTTTAAAATAAGATGAGATTTTTGGTTTAAGGTTTTTGAATGAAAAAACGTAATTGTAATTAAAATCTACCTGATAATACTTTTTAACTGAAGATAATAATTTGATGATTTCGAATTGATAATTTTGTATTCTTCAAAAATAATAATAATTTGGAGTAGTTTGACTAGCTTGATTACAAGATAATTACCTGATAATTTTTTATAACATTTGAATCTGACTAGTTTGATGGAACATTAGTTTACTCAAACAAGTGAGAATGATGATCTAGCATTTGACAAGTTAAAGTAGTTCATAGGACTCACCTCGTTATGTCTCTGTTTTCAGGCTCTGCAGACCTATGGAAGAGACCTTGTGGAACAAGCTGGGAAGCTCGACCCGGTTATTGGAAGGGATGAGGAAATACGAAGAGTTGTTAGAATTTTATCTAGAAGGACGAAAAATAACCCGGTTTTGATTGGTGAACCGGGTGTGGGAAAAACTGCCGTGGTTGAAGGGTTGGCACAGAGGATCGTTAAAGGGGATGTTCCTAGTAATCTTGCTGATGTAAGGCTCATTGCATTGGACATGGGTTCGTTGGTCGCGGGCGCGAAGTATAGAGGGGAGTTTGAGGAGCGGTTGAAGGCGGTTTTGAAGGAGGTGGAAGAGGCCGAGGGCAAGGTTATCTTGTTCATTGATGAGATTCATTTAGTTCTTGGTGCAGGGAAAGCTGAGGGTTCAATGGATGCTGCTAATTTGTTTAAGCCCATGCTTGCGCGGGGTCAATTGAGATGCATTGGTGCCACCACACTTGAGGAGTATAGGAAGTATGTGGAGAAGGATGCAGCTTTTGAAAGAAGGTTTCAGCAGGTGTATGTGGCGGAGCCGAGTGTTGTTGATACTGTTAGTATACTTCGTGGTTTGAAAGAAAGATACGAAGGTCACCATGGTGTGAGGATTCTTGATCGTGCTTTAGTTGTCGCGGCTCAATTGTCTAGTCGATACATCACTGGTATGTGCTGTGCTGCTTTTTGTAAATCAAATTAGAAATTTAGTAGATCAGTTTTGGTTAAACTATTTGCTTGCTCCTGTTAGTTATCTTCTTAGTACTCGTATAAGCTTTAATCTCTACGTAGTTTTGGTTCCCATCGGGAGAATCAAATAAAGCTTCTTGTCCATGTAAAACTGCTACAACTGCTCAAGAACTAAACTTGCTGTTTTTGGTATGTGAATTACAACTTTAAATGGAGAGTACTATAGGACTATCTAATAGTTTAAGCATTAGTCTTTATCTGAGTACATGTTCACAAGTTGCTTGAATATCAAGGTTATTGAATAAGTTAAAAGGAGTTTATAAGTTTAAGTAAGTTATTTCAAATGGCTATTAATGTGGCTATCAATTTCGGTTGTGTAGGTCGTCATCTTCCAGACAAAGCAATTGATTTAGTTGATGAGGCTTGCGCGAATGTGAGAGTTCAACTTGATAGCCAACCAGAGGAAATTGACAACCTTGAAAGGAAGAGAATGCAATTAGAGGTGGAACTTCATGCTCTGGAGAAAGAGAAAGATAAAGCTAGCAAAGCTCGTTTGGTAGAAGTAAGTGTTGATCATTTGACTATGTTAATTGGATATATGTAATTTCGATTGGGTTTGTGTTACAACTGTTGTCTTTCTATTTTTATGTTCAGGTGCGGAAAGAGCTTGATGACCTGAGAGACAAGCTGCAACCTTTGATGATGAAGTACAGAAAGGAGAAGGAGAGGATTGATGAGATTAGACGACTAAAGCAAAAAAGGGAAGAGCTGAACTTTGCTCTCCTAGAGGCTGAGCGGCGATATGATCTGGCCAGAGCTGCGGATTTGCGGTATGGGGCGATTCAGGAGGTGGAATCTGCAATACAGGAGCTTGAAGGGAACACTGAGGTCAATGTAATGTTAACAGAAACTGTTGGACCTGAACACATTGCTGAGGTTGTGAGCCGATGGACTGGCATACCAGTGACAAGGCTTGGGCAAAATGATAAAGAAAGGTTGATTGGTCTTGCTGACAGATTGCACCAGAGAGTCGTAGGGCAAGACCAAGCTGTTAATTCTGTAGCAGAGGCTGTACTGAGATCAAGAGCCGGGCTTGGAAGACCTCAACAACCAACTGGCTCCTTCCTGTTCTTGGGACCAACTGGAGTTGGCAAGACTGAGCTTGCAAAGGCCCTAGCTGAGCAACTCTTTGACGATGAAAATCAGTTGGTGAGAATTGACATGTCTGAATACATGGAGCAACATTCTGTTTCCCGCTTGATTGGTGCACCACCTGGGTAAGTGTGGATTGACTATTTTCACTTTTCAGCTTTTTGTGATTTTTATGTATGAAGTACGGATGACTAACTCGCGTTTTTAACTTTCAGGTATGTTGGACATGAAGAAGGAGGTCAGCTAACTGAAGCTGTAAGGCGAAGGCCTTACAGTGTGGTACTGTTTGATGAAGTGGAAAAGGCACATATATCTGTCTTTAACACTCTCCTTCAAGTCTTGGATGATGGAAGGTTAACTGATGGCCAAGGCCGCACTGTGGACTTTAGAAACACGGTCATTATCATGACCTCTAACCTTGGGGCAGAGCACCTCCTCGCTGGACTTTCAGGAAAATCTTCAATGCAAGCGGCTCGTGATAGAGTAATGCAGGAGGTATATTCTCGACACCAATTTTTATTATGAATGACAAAGCTTTTTGTGTTTCCTTTGTTGTGATTTGTGACTCTGCTGAATATGTCTTCAACAGGTTAGAAGACATTTTAGGCCAGAACTGTTGAATCGGCTTGATGAAATTGTTGTATTTGATCCTCTTTCGCACGAGCAACTAAGGAAGGTTGCAAGGTTACAAATGAAGGACGTTGCTTCTCGTCTTGCTGAGAGGGGAATTGCAATGGCAGTGACTGATGCAGCTCTTGACTATATCCTTAATGAGAGCTATGATCCGGTTGGTATCATTATCATGGTATTGTAAATTTTGTGTTCCGCACAAACAGAGATTGAGAATACTTACTAAGCTTTCTGTTATGTTTCAGGTTTATGGAGCTAGGCCAATTAGGAGGTGGCTTGAGAGGAAAGTTGTGACAGAGCTTTCTAGAATGCTTGTGAAGGAAGAAATTGATGAGAACTCAACAGTTTACATTGATGCCGGTGTTGAGGGAAGCGAGCTAGTTTACCGGGTGGAAAACAATGGAGGGATGGTTAATGCCGTAACTGGTCAGAAGTCTGATATTCTGATTCAGATGCCTGGATCCCTACCAAGATCTGATGCTGCCCAAGCAGTAAAGAAGTTGAAGATTGAGCAAATGGATGAGGATGAAGATGGTGAAATGGATATATGAATGCACGCTAATAACGATGGATGGCCAGGAGTGGTTCAAGTTGATGTTTTTGCTTCTTTTATACAGCTTTTTCTAAATGAGGGTGACTGGAAGGAATGGCCAATAGTTGGTTCAAGTTCATGTTTTTGCTTCTTCTGAATGGGGGGTATTCAAAGATGATCGTCTCCTTGTAATATTGTACTTTGCTTTTGTAAGTTGATGAATATCCCCTTGTAATGTCGAATTTTGCTTTTGAAAAGTTGTTTATAAGCTGAGTGCTATTATTATAATCTTGATTCCTACTCAAATCACTTCCAGAGCAAATTGCAAGTTTATACCCGTTTTCTAAAGAATAATAATATTAAGGTAAATCAGATGGATTTCGATTTATTACCAAAACCTTTGTGACTGATGCGAACCCTTTCTATTATCCCAAAAGAATGTCTCTGGATATCAATTAGAGAAATTTATAATAAAAAGCAATATTTTATTATTATTATTTGAAATTCTTAAAAATCTTAGAACACTTATAATATTTTTACAAAATAAATATAATAATAACTTTTTAAATACTTAGTAATACTCAAAAGTCTTGCGACAGATATACTTAGTAATACACACACTAAAATCAAACTCTAATTATAATTATGTATATTCATAAAGAAAACTTAAACGCACACACACATTTAAGGGTGTGTATATTAAATGCGCAACATATATCATGAAGATAAATATGTACTTAAAAAATATCAATATATAACGAAATTATACTAAAAAATTTAGGCACTATTTACTAATTTTAATCAAATTTAAATTAACTTAAAAAACAAAGCATTAAATTAAAATTAGTTATCCAAAAATAAAATTTGACGCGATATTTCATATTATAATGTATAATTCCCATAATATTCTTAAATATATAAACACTTCTAATAATAAAAAACTGTTTTCTATTTAAAGGCTTTACAAAATTATAATAATTATGCTAATTTTTTTATCTGATATCAAAAGAATTTCAAATGATTTCTTTTTTCTATTTTTATTGCATTAAAACACATTCTCATGTTAATTAAGGAAAAAAACTGTAAATTTCATAATTTAAACATGAATTGATAAAACAATTATATATTTTGGTTCAAATACACAGTAGATTTATATAAAAAAAATTCCTCACAATATTATGCGTTGAATAATATATATATATATATATATATATATATATATATATATATATATATATATATATATATTGTCTTATCTCTATCACATTATATGTACCTTAATTCAGCTAGGTTTCTGATGTTGCCAACCAGCTCAACTCAGCATCAATTACCACGAATTTAACTCTGTCCTATGAATAATTGAGTTACTTCTCTTATCTCTATCAATGGTTTAAAAATTAAAAAATTAAATTGGTTATTAATACAATTAAGATACTTAGTTAATGAATTATTGCTGGAGTCTTATTCGATAATTGAAAATACCAATGTTATTCCAAAAAATTATGGTTTCCAAATTCACAGCGCAAACACTTTCTCTTTTTAACAATTTTAATATTAAAATTTCTCTAGGGAGCAATAATAAATATTGTGATTTATATTATTACATATAATATATATATATATATATATATATATATATATATATAATTTTGTATTATTGTCATTTTCTTATTTTGTTCAATAGAAATATGATTTAACAAGAAACACTAATTGAAAATATAAACTTAAAATACTTTTTTATCATTAAGATCTCTTTCAAGAATTGTATATGGTACATTAAAATATATATATATATATATATATATATATATATATATATATATATTACAATTATTTATGTGTATACATACACTAAAAACTAAAATATAATTGGTAAAATGTATTTAAAATAATAATAATATAAAAAGTTATAAATGTTAATATGTTTGTTAATGATATCTATAATAATAATAATAATAATATTGTTTTTGGTGAAAATTTGACTGATTTCGATTTATGGGGAGTTGAGTCCTAATCAAATCTTGACCATGTAGATTGTTTTTACTTAGGCTAGCAACTATTTTTCAATCGAAAAGTGCATGAGAATCGAGAATCTCGGGAATGTAAACAACACTATTTAAAGTGCAAATCGCAAGTACTATTTTCGGTATTTTTTATTAGATAACGCGAAGTAAAGAAAGCAGTAAAATTGTTGGATCGAAAAGTGGTGCAAAATATTAAATTGCAGAGAAACATAAATGCGGAAACCTCAAAATTTGCACTAAGTGTAAATGACAAGGAATCGAAAATTGCAGAACCGTAAATAAGCAGAAAATCGAACTTTGCAGAAAAGTAGATAATAAGAAATCGAAATTGCATAAGTGTAAATAACGAGGAACTTAAATGCAGAATCTCAACTTTGTATAAAAGTAAAATAACATAGAATTAAAAGTGCAAAAACTTAAAATTGCTTAAACGTAAACTGCATCAAAATAAATTGCATGAACATGAATTACCAGGGAAAGTACAAAAAACGGTAAAGACAATAAATGAAAATGGAAATCCAGATCACCAGAAACTTCATGATTTCGTCGTTCTCTGGTAGACTTTTCACTAACGCTTCTGTTGTCTCTGCCAATTCTCTCTTCTCCTTCATTTTTGCTCTATTTATAGAGTGCCTTCCAAGTAACCTCCCAAGAGCAGTTAACAAAACTGCCACCACGATCCATCATGCACGTCCATCAGTTCCACGGTTTGAAAATTGTACTTCACGTTCCCATGCATGAGATAACCGCCCTCTTGACCTTCGATCTCTGCCACGGTTTAGAAACCGTTTCCCATGTTCTATGTGCGCGTTAACTGTTCCTCTCTCTCTAACTTAACCAGAATTTCAATGGTCGTGCATGTTAACTTTTCCCTCGATTTCGATTTCAAAATCTCAAGAATTTGGCATTACCTTTTTTATTCCCCTTAACCTTAACATTACATGATTCTAATTCCTCGATTTTCTTCAACCATAGACATTAAATATCCCTCAATTTGTTTCTCGGTTCTGATTCTCGATTTATGTGTCCATTCTGTTACATGGTCATCGAGTGCTTTCCAACCATCTTTTCACTTTATCAGTTTTTTCACCAATCATATGATCCTCGATTTTTCTTTCCTTCGTTTTTTTCGATCCCTTTATCGATTTCCTACTAACAAATATAAAAGAGACTATGGGATTTATACAAATTATAAGAGTGAGAACCTTTTAAATAGGAATAATTTGTAAGATTTAGATTTGAGTAGTTTAAGGAGAAATTGTAGTTAAATAAAATAAAGTTCAAAGCTTTTATATTTGATATATTTAAATAAAAAATTCTTTTAAATTTTATTTCTAAATATTATTATCTTTAAATTCTAAATTTCCTTATTTCTCTTTAAAAAAATTTCATCAAATTCTTATTTTTTTTAGATTTAAATACATCATTGTGTTTTTAACGATAAATGGAATATTTTCGTTTGATCAAAATCTTAAATAGAGTAAAAAAATTTCCTCTTAATTTTAAAGTATGTTTACAAATTTGTGGCTAAGGTTTTGTATATGGGTTTTTGAGTTTTGCATGTGATCTTAGTTGGGTAAAAATGAATCTTGACTAATTTATAAATATTATGGTAAGTTTGATTTTTTTTAATTGAGGTGTGAGCAAGATTCGACTCCCTACAAAATTAGAAATTTAGTGTTTTTAAGTTTGAGAGCACTGAGATTGGAAGGTAATCAAAACTACTTATCATTTGATTCCTGCAATACTATAAGTTAGAAGATCTAGATTATGAATGTGACTTGGTTAAATTGTTTGATTCATAGAAATTTGACTTGTTTGTGTTGTATTTTAAATTATGATTGAATGAGTTGATTTAGAGTAATGATATGTATATAATGTTAGGATATATAATAATTATATTTGGACTATATATGACATATTTTAAAATAAATTTAAGTAATAGAGTCTCAAAAATGTGGTTTAACATGAGTTATGTAGGTTTATTATATACATATTTTGCTTATGCAATAATGGGTCATTCAAGCGAAATGTGTAAAAGAGAAAATGACTTCTCTTAAGTGTATTTTTGTTTAAGCGAACAAAATTTTGCCTAAGAAAAAGTGAGTCTTGTTTAAACAAAAAAATATTTGCTCAAGGTAAACTTTTCCAAAAAAGAAGGTCTTGGGAGGATTTTTGCCCAAGTAAAATTTTTTAGATTTTTTCTGTTCGAACTTATAAAAATCATAAAAAATTTGTTCAAATTCCAAATTTAAAGTTTCATGTATGAAAATTAAAGCCATAGAAATAAGGTATCCAAATGTTTATTCTTTTATTGTGAAAAATGATATATACATAACTTTGGATATTAGAAAACATATATTGAACATGAAATAATGTATGTTGAGTGTTAATATATATATATATATATATATATATATATATATATATATAGAGAGAGAGAGAGAGAGAGAGAGAGAGAGAGAAAGAGAGAGAGAGAGAAATATCATGTGAAATCTTTATATATATTATATTTGTGATGAATTAATGAAAATTATTATAGTAATTTCCAATAAAAAATATTATATTGAGATTTAGGTAATGCATTGAATTTGAGATTATGAAAAAGATATATTGACTTTACTGATATTGGACTCATATATAGAAAATTACCATGTGATGAGAGTTGAAAAGAGGTATTTATAACTTAATTTGTGGTGTCAAAAATAATTGTATCTTGTAAGTTATAGGGATTTACCTTGTCACATGACGGAGTATGTTCTAATCATGTACTTATATTGAAAATATCCACCTAGGGAAGATAGTGTGATAAATATGTGTTAATCTCTAAGTCTAAATTCAACTCATGTGAGTATCTGGGAAATAAAGTCAAGTGTCTATCATTTTGAATGTCAATGTAGGATGACATGAGATGTAATTTACATGTTGAGAGATTAGACACTTGATTAATTGTATAATTGTAGTACTTGATTTTTTTTTTCCATAGATGAATATT